TGAAAGTCTGAGAATGGCAGTTGGCATGATTTTGAAGGGTTTCATTGAGATGTTTTTGCAGATAGTCATTTGTCAGCAACAAAGGTTCAGTTTGACTGTTCACCAAAACACAGGCAAAGAACAAACTCGTAGCTCTTTCTCAAACTGCGTGGTTACTACACAATAATCCCTCAACCAGATATGTCAACATTTCTCAACCATAGTTAAGAAAAGGAAAGTGATGAACATCCCCAAAAGTTCTTGGTTGATGTAACTAAATGCCAGGGTGATCTTGCCAAATATGGCTGCCACTAAAGATTTTCATGCACTAACGAACAGTTTGCCTGTAACACAAACATACCCATGAGATGCCGTGGACTGTGGCCAGAAAAAAGTTATGAAAACAATAACAACACTCACAATATGATAATGACTTATCTGAAGTAGACATTGTGTTGACACAGACTAAATATGACTGATAAGTGAAATAAAGGAGTATACTTTTCTCGTATCTATAGCACTAGATACAACTAAATAGTTTGGGTGTTGGAATATTGTCAGATAATACAGGTAATAGCTTTATCAAGGCTTTTTTTTGGACCAGAGTAGGTCTTCATAAAATCACAAAATTAACACATCTAAAATATGTACTAAGCATAAGGACAGCTGTACATGTATAGAATCCACATATTTGATTAACATCAAACTCCTAACTCAACTGTGAATTTGCCACACTAATTTTTAGGAATGATATTCAATTGTTAATGGTACCAGAGACAGGAACTATGTCAGCTTACAATCCTTGTTAATGGTACCAGGGACAGGAACTATGCCCAACTTACAATCCTTGTTAATGGTACCAGGGACAGGAACTATGTCAGCTTACAATCCTTGTTAATGGTACCAGGGACAGGAACTATGCCCAGCTTCACCACAAGAGTTCTCTTTTATAACCATAACTTTCACTTTGCAGTTGAAGCTTTGCTTCAAATTGACTTAGTTTGTGCTCTAACCAATCAACTTTTGCTTTCAGAGTGAATGTTGAAGGTCCTTTTCTTTGATATTGTTGTATCCTTTGCATCTGTATTGTATACCAGTCTCACTATATAGGAACTATGTCAGCTTACAATCCTTGTTAATGGTACCAGGGACAGGAACTATGCCCAGCTTCACCACAAGATAGGTATATCTAGAAGCTTGTGATAATTGTCAGCTTACAATCCTTGTTAATGGTACCAGGGACAGGAACTATGCCCAGCTTCACCACAAGATAGGTATATCAAGCAACTTGTGATAATTGTCAGCATACAATCCAAATAACCGCTGGTAGCATTGCAAAGCGGCCTAATATCCAATAGGATCGATGGTTTAAAAATACTCCCCCCCCCCCAAAAAAAAAAGCAACAACAAACAAACAAAAAACAGATTGTGCATATCTGTACATTGCCTTGATACTGGTGCACATGAAAAAATTCATTCTGCACGTGGACTGAAAAAATTAGAGGGAACATTGCTCAAGACTCGCATTTTGTTGGAAATTATTTAAAACTATTCCTGCAAGAGTGTCATATCTGTCTAGTGAAATTTAATTTACAGGTTTTGTTTTTTTATAAAGGATAATTTTTTGTCTCTCCCTAGTTACCTAAGTAAATTTACTTATGTTAAGGGTTAGTCACACTATAGGAATGATGTTTAGGATCTAGTGATTCCATTGGAGCTACTTCTTACATCTTTGATAATGCTTAGACTAAATGCCATGATTATATACTACTGTGAAAACTGCTATGTCTTCTGCAAAGGAAAGTCTTAAACCACAAGTCTTGGAAGACTTTCCACAGACTATCTCTTATAAATGGACTTTGACTTTTCAGAATGCATAAAGGTATAAAACTCATTAAAGCTGAATTAAGGGGTATGACAGGTATGTGGTTGAATGAGAGTGCTGGTATTTCATTTTCTTTGGACGTCATTCTAATGAAAACAACTGTTGATTTTTAGGTATATCTAGAAGCTTGTGATAATTGTCAGCTTACAATCCTTGTTAATGGTACCAGGGACGGGCTTTAGGCTTATCGACTACCATGGTAATTAAGACTGTCAACATGTTGAGACTCCTCATCATTACTGAGGATGTGTGCAGCTGGTATAATGAAGTGTGCAGTGCTTGATTGGTTGTTGTGCAGCCTAGAGGGAACACTGGTCTTGAGTAGTCTCTAAATGAGATTGAAGGCAATTGACAATACAAGTGAAAAACATTAGACAGTTTGTAATTATTGAGTTTATATTAGCATTACTTAATTATGAGTGTGTAATAAAAATTTACCTTCTCAAAAGACAATTTAAATATTTTCTCCAACTGATATATCTGCTTATGAACTTATCTAGATCTTGATTGCTCAGTTACAGTATTGTGTAGTTCTCTGATAAGCTAGTGTTATATAGGGAAATACATTTTTTGATCATTAGTTGACAGCATCAGGTTAATTTCAATTTAATTTCTCAAACTAAACAGAACAGTAAAGAACATATAAGTCACTTTACAATCTCCACCAAAGTACAGTTGTTTTAAGGCGATTTATCATTTTCTGTTACATTTTAAATGAAAAAATGGCCTTGAATATTCAAAACAGTATTTTCCATTGACACGAGATTTTTACAATTGTTTAAAACACATCATGCATACATAATACCTATTGAAACCCTCATCCACATCATGCATTATTATCTATGGTAAGTTATCTCCTGTCAAAACCCCAACTCACAGCACTATTTGTCTCCACAGAGAGACATCACTTTTCTATTGTTTCTTCTTCCAAATATTTCTCAATCAACTGCCATTTCTTCACTTCTTGGCAGATTGACTTGAAATTTGGTTGGATTATACCTTTGCCAAATAATCAACTGCCATTTCTTCACTTCTTGGCAGATTGACTTGAAACTTGGTTGGATTATACCTTTGCCAAATAATCAACTGCCATTTCTTCACTTCTTGGCAGATTGACTTGAAACTTGGTTGGATTATACCTTTGCCAAATACGTTCAGACATCTTTTCCATTTTTTTTATTTGGGTCTTTTTAAGGATTTTATTGGTCTATAAGCCAAAAAAACCTGCAACAACCTGTGCAGTCATATTTATAACAATTAAGATGAAAATTTGGCACAAATACAAACTTTCATGCATCCAACACACTGACATACATAAAAGTTGGATTTGCCCATTTTGAGTCTTTTTGAGTGGTTCAGATCTCACAAAAAGCATAATTTTGGGGTTTTTGGTCAATTACTCAGTCATATTCTGACCAATGTACATGGAATTTGGTACAAAGATATGTTTTTACAGGTCCCATACATATACATACAAAAATGTGGTATGTGCCCATTTATGATCATTTTAAAGGGGTCAAAAGGTTAAATAAACCCATAATTTTAGGGTTTTTTGACAATTACTACACCATATTTAAGCAAATTTACATGAAATTTGGTACAAAGATACATTTTTACAGGTACCATACATATAAATACAAAAAATGTGGGATATGCCCATTTATGGGGGGTCAAAAGGTTAAAATAAATCCATAATTTTAGGAGTTTAGATCAAGTGCTTAGCCTTGTTTTAACTGCTTTACATGGAATTTGGCACAAAGAAACTCTTTGCAGGTCCCAAACAGAGATAAAGATAATTTTGGAATTTTTGTCCTTTGCTCAATTTTTCAGCAAGGAAAGTACAATTTGAGGTTTTCATGAACTATTAATGTGTATGTCAACCAACTTACATGGGAGTTGGTACAAAGATACCTTCTTGCACATCCCAAGCAGCAATATAGACAATTTTAAATTTTTCTGTGTTTTCAATATTTTTCTGGTATCAAAAGTGGCCATGTTGGGACTGTGTGGTAGAGACGTGTTGCATTCACCTGCTAATGTTGGCCTCTTTAATTATGATAGTAAATCTCCTCTCAAAACTCTTATCCACATGACAAACTTCCTGTCGAAACCCTAACAATATGAACTATGATGACAAACTTTCTGTCAAAAACCCTAACTCGCATGTGATATCTATGATGATAAACTTTCTGCATAACAGTTTTGATTACAGACTTATCATTTTCAATAACCTGCCCTCAGATTCTTATCTCTAAAATCTATTTCAAATAATACATATTCCTTCTTGTAATTTTAGCATATGAAATTATTCAACACATTTGAATCATACGAATATTTCTTAAACTTGAATTTAATATTTGATGTTTCTGCAGAGTGAGGTAAAGTATCTGGGAATTCAACTAGTTACTTATGAAGAAAATATCACTTTCCCACCCGAGTAGTAAGTATGAATACTGTTTCTCATAAAAAAAAATTAACATTTTAGAAAAATGGTTTAGATCAAAACAAAAAACTAGGAACATAAATCACTAATAATAAAACCACATGACTCAACTGTTCACCAACAATAAAATCCCACTTGACCAATATTGTTAGTACATTCAGGCAGGCTGATGTCAAACAAGGTGGATGTAATTTTCTGAGAGTAACATCATATTTTCTAGTGGATCAATTTAACAATTCCTTGAAGGATGTAGAAACATGATTTAACAAATTAGACTAATGACTTAAGACTAATGCTGTATGAAACAAAAACTTCCAACAAATATAGCCTATTAAAGGGGAAATTAGTGAGCTAGTTAACAATGACAGATCAAGAAAAGGTACTTAACAGTTAATAAGAACAAAAGAAAAACTAGTGAGCCACATTTATAAACTTAGTATCTACAAGTATTAAATTGTGTAACTGCTGTTTGTTATCCCCAGCACAGACTCTAAGAGATACAATTTCTTTACAAGCTCACCTGAGTGTGTGAAACCTACTGTCTGGAAGGACTTTACCAAGTGTAATTAGGTTAATTACAGAGGAAGAATTTCTTCCACTTCTTTGTACTACTAAACAGTATAAACATGGAAAATGACTGTTCCATGTGGGATAAAAATAGAAAGAATAAAAACTGTTGAATTTACTTTTCACAAGAGTCAGAAATTTATTTTAATAATGGCTCTATTTCGTATCTAAATTAACTTTTTCCTTTATTTTAACACTAAAAAACATATCTCACATTTTTAAGCACTGATTTTTCACATTTTATTAAGATTATACATCTCTCTGTTTTTTAAACATTTATTGGAAAGAAAACTCATTCATAAATCGTTGCCTTAAAAAGTGAAATGAAAAAATATTATAAAAAGTCAATATTCATGTGCACAGGATGCTAGATTTTTAATGCCACACATTTTAAAATTTATATCAATAACCCTGCCTATTGTTTGTAAATATATAGTCATAGAACACAAGGCAACATTCAAAAAAGGCTATAGGCATGTCATAGTAGTTTCTGCAAATACAGAAAATTTAACAATGCTTAGACTGTTTTTTGTAACTTCTATTACTTTTTTGATGCTGGAAGTGTAAATATATGAATACTTTTAAGTATATTCAAATTATAACTTGTGTGGATCTCACAACAAGTGAAAGGTGTTTTGTAAGTAATAACCTTTTCTTTATAATTAGTTTGAAAACACATTTGAATATTTATGTAATTAATTTACAATTACTTTGCACTATTATTTTCATAAGTAGATTTAGGACTAGCAGAAAAAGCCTAAGCTGACTGAGCCTTGGGAGATATTGAAATTATGACTGAAAATATTACTAACAGATTATTCAACACATTTTAATCATTAAATTTTTTTGTTTCCTGGTGTACTTGTTTATGACAATAAGTTCTTTTAGTTGGTTAATTTACAGGTTTAGATACATAAATTAATAAATTACTTTTTAGTTTTGTTCTATATAATTAGCATACTTTTGACCAAAAGTTCTAATAATCATTCATTCAGAGGTTAGGTGCTTGGAACAGATCTATTTTACAGTTAACAAAGTGCTATGGCATGGGTGAAAAAAAAGTACTTGTACCTTTAGATGACTGACATTTTACTGAAGCAGAAATGTAACTATTTATATGAAAAAAACAAACTTTTGTTATGAGAGATGAGACGTATGATGCCGTAACAGTATCAATACCAATGTCTTTCGACAAGAACTTGTAAGATACTAGATCAAAGTTAGCACAAGTACCAAAATTATTTTATTCTAATAGATATGCTAAAACTTTTACATGAGGAAAAAAAAAGTTTGATACAGTGAATAAAACTCTTTCCTGTGCAGTGTAAAATATATGCTTTTTAATAAGGGTTTTCTGATTAGACAAATGACTAGATATATGTATATCAAAAAATAACCTGTAGAGTCTATCACATGTATAAACAAAAAAGTATGACAAACAAAAGAAGAAAAAACCTAAACACCTTAAACCACACAAAAATATTCAAATAAGTGTCAAGCATTTCAAGCTAGCTGGTGATTATTTAATTTTCCGGTGTTACACAACAAAACCCAAATATATTAAGTTACCAAGTTTGAGATAAGGAACATTCAAAAAATAGTTTTAAAAAAAAAGGAAAAATTCACACTGACTAGAAATTCAGAATATTAGGTTATATTTTAGTAGGAATGTCACTAATTTTCAGCAATTCCTCTCTTCTACTTCTCCATCCTTCTTCCCTACTGCATCTGGATTGGCCAAAGGATCAAGATCAGCAAACAAGTTAAACCATGCTGACATATCTTGTTTCAAACCCTGTTCACAGAACACAAGAATCAGAAGCGGAAATAACAGTCTAACTTCAGATATATATATACACATAGTTGAAAAACTAGGACCAAATGAATGATTATCCTTTGAAACTACAAATATGACAAAAAAAAATTAACAATTTTAGCTATCATGGTAATTTAGAAGTTTTACAATACGAAAGTTCTCATGTAATTATATCCAAAAACTTTTCAAACAGAAACTTAAATAAAACATTTCAATATTATGTACAGTTATACTTTTGGTTTTTGTGAAATTTTCTCGGTAATTTGGTTTCATAGGTAACATTAAAGTATAACATTTATATTCAAGAATTCTTAAAAGGCATACATGCATAATTGAAAAGTTAGTAAACATATATTTATGTCACAACTAACATTTTAAGGCCTAGGTTTCTCAAGAGTGTTATTGTATTGTGGTATATAACATTTTACTTGCAATGTGACCATTGTGTGGTTGAATTCAGCATATTTACATTAACTTTAAAATGTGGAAATCTCTTTCTGTAATAGTTTTAAAAAGAATGAAACATAATTTTGGTTCACTTGTGTCTTATAAACTGGGGTATTCTATTTAAACTCTGCCACTATGAAATGCTTAAGTGTGGAAAATTAAATATTCTACATGTTATTTGGTTTAATTTTAACATCCAACTACTACCTATACAAAATTAAAATACAGGGAATTTTGTACTCACCTGTGACTTTCTGATTTGAAAGAGAATATGGAAGTTTTTTGATCTTGACACTATGTAAAGATCAGCTATATCTGTTTACTGTCTTGCATATCTCACTAATGTGTGGAACATTTTAGATAATAGTCTCACAGAGAGCAATGATATAAATTTTAGAAAGTAGCAAGTTATAAGCATATTTTTAACTCAAGTTTCAGGTCTTTTTGAATAAATTATTGGTAACAGGACTTTACAGTATATCAATTTTTGTTAGAAAATTGGTGTAATGAAAGAACCAGGTGCATTTATACGTTGAGCCTCTGAATAGTAAATAATTAAATACAGAAAAATGCAAAGTTTCTTGGAGTTGAAATAAATCTTTTCCTTTTCTTAGATAAATACCAGTTACCATACTATTCAAAGAGTTAAAACAGGCTTAGTTTGTCTCTAATTCTTAGAATCTTTATATTCAATGTACTTATTTGATATGTTTTACATTCACATCTAACTAGAAATACTTTTTTTACCTTTTCATTATATTCAAACCTTGTAAATACTACCCACTTAATGCAATACGTTTAGTTGTACTGAGAATGCAAAAAGAAAGAAACTGATAAAAAAGATTATGCCCCACTTATCTTCTACCTACCAAAAGTAAAAAATCATATGTATAAAAACTAAGAATATAACACATTAAAATAAGTAGTATTTTAGCCACTTCATTCTTCCCTTAAAAGAAGTGTAATAGTTTTCAAAATGAATCACTTGGCAAGGTTGATTTTATGTCTTTTCACAAACTCTGTGAAGAGAGATATTTACATGAGAAAAACCACAAGATATTAAAACAATGGTTTATAAGCATTTATGATGAAGTGATTTATGTCTCCCCCAAAATAAATCCTTTTATTATGCTTGCAAATTGTTGTTTACCAATTTATTATAATATTAGCACAATGTGCTTCCATATTCCAATATGAATGCCATAATACATGCGCCTATTCAACATATTCAGCAAGACTACTGACCATATTTCTATTTTTTGGTCATTATTTAACTCTCTCTCTCTCTCTATTGCCTCGTTTGATTCAATCAAGTTTGTGACCTAAAAATAACATTTAGAATTTCCATACCATAATTTTTAACATGTATTGTATATCTGCATGAAACTTTGCAAGCTTTCAATAAACATTACAAGTCTTTTATAGACCAAAAACAAGAAATTTTAGTGGAATATTTTTACTAAAAACTTCTCCATAAATACATGAAGTCAAAGTGCTAAGTGATTTTGACAATAAAATTAAGAATACTTTTCTTCATAAGAAAATTGTCAAATTACTTTTGCATAATCTCTAAAATCTCCTAAATAAATTTTCAAAAAACTTTATATTTTATGTTATTTTCCCTACCCTAACTCTATATTCATTTGATCAATTTCACCAACCTTGTAGCCATCATAAAAAATACAAAATAAATCTAAATTACCCATTTTTTATTTTTAGAATGACTGGAAATTGAAATTGTTTATCTAAAATAGCTTATAAAGCTCATAACAGTATATATATCTGTTTCTACTTAAATTTTATTGTTTTATTGCCCTTTCAACCATGTCTAACTAATAATCCTGCCACACATCATAAATCACTTGGTGAACATGTAGGTCATTCTACTGTATCAATTTACATGATGCTCAAGCTACTCGCGAGCATACCTTGTGAAGAATTTTGATTACTATTATTTTTCTTTATCTTTCCTAATCTAACCTAATAAGTTTCTAATTGTTACACTTTAGTTACTTTATAATAACTAAATAAAGAATACAGATGAAAAACAATAAAAAGTATTTTTTTTTTGCTGTCAACTGCCAACAAAACTGAAGCCTACTTTTTATACTAATGGTACTACTGCGCTAAATTTTTTATGTAATTACGTAATGCACTTAAGAACACAGAATAATAGTACGTAAAAAGAAAATCATGTCCTATAATTGTCATATTTTTTCTGGTTTTCTAACTGTGCAATAAGAACCTTTAAAAATTCAGTTAAGCCAGTCAGTGTGATTTGCATGAGAACAAATTTGGAATTGAACCAGGAAATAGACAATTCTCTGTATAGAAAAGAATGTAATATGTCATTGATAGATTAAAACTTTGGACTTTTGATGGTTATAGATAATATAATATAAAATATCAGAGAACTAACTATTGGCAATTTGTGAAATGGAGGATGTGACAGGTGTGCATGGAAAGTGGGTCTGATTTTCTAGTTTATGGCTTCATACACAAACAAGTTTGAAGGCTATAAAAATTATGCTTTGTCTAAGTAATAAATATATTATAGTAAGTAAGGGGTGGTAAATAGCTTAGGGAAAAAGGAAGATCTAGAGAATAAATATCACAATTCTCATACTAGGGGGAGATTCAGAAATTTTATAAATATTTCCGTATAAAATTAGAATGTAAAATATGATTTATTAACTACATTTTGATGCCAAGTTTATTTGTATACAATGATAATAAAGTGATTTAATTAAATTTTGAATGTAACTCTAAAAAGTTGTGACGTGTATATTGACCGACCAATAGCAAGAGGGTAAAGCTCAGATATTATCTCTAATACCAATAATAATAATAATAAAACTGATGTAAATGTGAATATTTAATTTAAACTATGTTTAAATCCTTTTTTTCTCACTTTTAACTATAGTTTCAACAGTTAAGACACTATATATATATTTTAAATTTAACTGTATTCACAAACACTGAGTATCAAACTAGTTTAATATTATCCACATTACAGTAAGATGACCCAAGAAAATGTTGAATATAATATCTCATTTACTAATGTTTCGTTTACAATACTTTGATCCGTATTTTAACATAAAATTTTATCATAAAAAATTTAATTCTTAAATATTCATTAGCATGCTCCAGTTTTGTTTCATGATCTGCCAATTACAGACCTTTACTTTAAACTATGTCATCAAATGATTCTTAATCAACTGACTTTTGCACCATGCAATAGAAGCATTTTTACTCACATGTTCAATTTTATCAATACTGAAGTTTGATTTAAATCAAACTATGGTCTTAAAGTCTTATTGCATAAAGTTTCTTTAACTCAAAGCATTCTTTCACAGTCACAGTGATTAAAACTGGTTGTTGTGAACAGGAAAACAGGAATTTCATGCATGCTCTTGTAGAGATGACAGCACATGAGGATATGAATATTTATAGATGCCATGGGAACATATGAGTAACAGGATACTGTCTTTGATGTAAAAGAAGTTTTAAATCCTTTTTTGTAGATTAAAAACAGTTCTCACATTAATTTGTGGTTAAGTTCTCTTGATTAAATTTTTATGTTTTACCGAGTCTGCACACATGGCTAGACATGGTAGCACAAAGGTCACAGGACAATGTAGAACATCTGGTACTGCATAAATATGGTTACTGACTTCCTTCAAACACTCATTAAACATACTATTAATAAAATCCAATGAAAACTCATTTTTTTGTAAAAGGCATCTGATGTTAAGTTCTTTGTTATAAATTTCTGATGAGCTAGCTACTTTACACACTCTTTACAAATAAAGGCTTAGCAAGCTATCTAAATAGTTTCAAACTGACCATTACAGTTTTTGATGACAATACTTCTAAAATTACAGACGTTTTCAATATAAATTTCCGTGTAAGATTACTTACATTATTTGTTTTAAAGCTTGTTTTAAATATAACAAAATGAGTGAAGGAAAGGAAATGTGTACTTTTATATACTACCACATATAATAAAACTAGTTCAAAAATAGTTTCAAAAGATGCACAAGTATACAGACACACATACACTTCAAATACTGTTAAAAGATAGATATCTGAGTCACCATCCATTATCCCCATTGCCATGGGCATCTTAAACAACTTTTCATTTATGTTATACCAATTAGAATCACATAAATTTGTAACTAATAATCCACATTTTAATAGTATATAAGTTTTCAATTCTTAATTTTATAATGCAATATTAAACAAAATCCTGAATTTCTCATAGTGTGAGAAATGTGACATTTTCTCTAGACATACCCTCTTCTTTTTTTTATTCACCACCCCTCCAATAATTATGAAATTTAATGTACATTACTCACTATAAAATCATGACTGCTCAGACAAATCAATTTTTATAGCCTTCAATCCTGTTTGGTTACAGAGCCATGAAATAGAAAATCAGACACCTCTTGCCATATCCTGTCACATCTTCTCTTTCAGGATTTGTTAATAGTTCTCTCTTACTCTTAATACTATATTATGTATAACCAATAGAAAGTCAAGGTTTTCATCTGTTAAATGACGTATTATATTACATTGTTTTCTGAACAGAGAATTGTCAATTATCTGTTAGTACAAGCTTCCTTCCCATGGGAAAGATAATGACTAGCTTGGATGAGCTTGTAACGGCTCTTGTCGCATAGTTAGAAAGCCAGAAAAATTGTGATAGTTAGAGAAATTGTCTGCTTTTTGCATGTTATTATTCTATAGTTCTTTGTGCATTATATAATTAAATAAAAA